TAATTGGTCCGTGATGACCTTAAACTATTAGTCACGAGATTTAAGGATAAATGAGGATCCGAAAGATACTAAATTAAATGAAATCAAGTGATCTGAGGTGTCAAGTGATTAATTTGTTGATCACTACGTTAATATTATAAATCATAATTCAGGAGTTTATGATGATCAAATGGATACAAAATTAAGATAATGGAAATACTTTAAAACAATGGAAATACTTTAATAATTTAAATCCATGAATCGAAATTATGAATTTAGTTACACAAAAACAAACATAAAAGGGCGTGAAGATCACCTTTTGGAAAGGGGAGAGAGAGAAATTAGACAAATTTTGTTATGAATCATTTATTTTGTTATTTAATGTTATTAAACCAAGCATATTATTGTATTTATTTATATTATTAATAAAGAGTCATTTTGTTAATACCTGAGGTGGCAAACATAATTCTCTATGGGCTCAGGTGTTACACTGTACACTCGTTGCACGATGTTATTATCAAGATAGATTTGGTTTAGAAATAAGAACACTTAAAATGAAGCTATCGATTTGTTCGAGAAAAAACTTATTACTTAGATTTTAATATAAATATGGTACCTGTGAGAGAAATACATTTTACATATTATGTGATGTTACTAATACTTTATTTTTCTCAATAATTTTAATTTGGCCGAATTTTGGATGAATTCTGGTCGAATTCAAAGATCGGCACTTTCGTAACACTGGTGTAAACTTAAAATTCAAATTATGTGTTATCCTTGACATGTTATAAATGAGAAAATATAACGCCTGCAACGCTGAGTCATCCAAATTATTAATTATAACTTCCTAAACATTTTCTTATAATCTCATCAACATCATCCTAAGTAGAAAAATTTTGTTTATTATGTTATATGACTTATTTAGTTCGTTAATCTAATGATCGAAATTTTCAGATACGTATGTATATCATAGTATCATTTCGTTGATAATTGCGTTTCCCTGTCGAGAAAGATCCATAAAAAAAAACTTTATTGATGGATAAAATGATACTAAACAAAGTAAGGTATATCGATTGTAAATATAATAAAAAAAATATTATATTAGGACAGTCAAAAAAAAATTTTGAAAATTTTAAATCAAATAGTCAACATTAGTATAAAATTATATCAACCTTTTATCAACAGAGGTTAGTCGGGTACCTGAGAATTCATTGAGTTTATTTCTCGATGAAATTAGATAGTAAATAACATAACTGGATATATTTACTTAAAATTAAAGGTAGCATTTGTATCAGTCTTCGTCAAGACCAAAAAATAGAATGTAGGAGAGGCAATGCGATCTATAACATGCTTTACTCAATGTATTTTGCATTGTGTACTTGCATCTTATCTATCTTATCTGTATATCACCGACGTCACGAAAAATATATATTAACATATGATACCGCTTTATTATCCGGCCGTCATTTTTTAAAAAAATTTCTAATTGCAAAAAGTCCGCGTAATTTAATATAACATAACAAATCATTATATAAATATATGCATCTATTCTTTATCGTCTTAAAAGACTCACAATAATACGATCTAAAGGCTGGAACTAAATGTGTCAATCCAATTTTTTAATACATAAAGCATCAGTTAGACGAGATTCTTCTACTATTATATAAAATATTTGTCAAATCAAAAGTAGAGTTTGGAACCGGATGGTACATCCCGTTCCAAATTCGGTTTACAACCAATTTTTGGTGATTCAGTTTAACCCGGATTCATATTACGAAAACCGGTTTGCGTTTAAAGCGGGTGCAACCGAATACTCAACCTGGTTTTGATATTGAAACTTTATAGTGCTGGCCCGAATTACGAAATTTAAATCACGTGACTACGGCTAAGTAAGGTATGTTACACAAAATTTTATTATAGTCCTTCTTTTGTGTTACACAAGGTTTGTAATTCTGGCCGGAATTATACTTGGCCAGATTTATGCCGATCACATTTAATTCTGGCCAGAATTATCAAATATAAAACCAGTTGTGCAAATTGGTTATTCGGTTTCAATCGGATTTTGCAAAACCGGTTTGAAACAGATTGAACTGGTTGCACAATTTGGTTTTTCAAAATTGAACTGGTTCTAAACTCTAATTAAAAGCAGGTATTGTCACAATTTCTTTTTTTTGTTAGTCTTTATTGATTTAATATACAATTAAGTAAAACGTATTACAAGTTTACAATCAATAGAAATATATAGCTCGTCTCCCATCACTCCATTTTGTATCCCATCACTCCTCTTTATCTACCATCATGTCCTATTTCTCCTTTTTGTTTCCTATCACTTCTCACTGCTCTTTTTACTCCCTTTCATCTTTTATTACTTTCCATTACTCCATTGTTATTTCATTTTTTTATTAGCATCTTTCTCCTTATCATTGTAATTTACTTATCTTTATTGTTATTGTTTCTTTTATTTGTATCANTTGTCACAATTTCTTTTTTTTGTTAGTCTTTATTGATTTAATATACAATTAAGTAAAACGTATTACAAGTTTACAATCAATAGAAATATATAGCTCGTCTCCCATCACTCCATTTTGTATCCCATCACTCCTCTTTATCTACCATCATGTCCTATTTCTCCTTTTTGTTTCCTATCACTTCTCACTGCTCTTTTTACTCCCTTTCATCTTTTATTACTTTCCATTACTCCATTGTTATTTCATTTTTTTATTAGCATCTTTCTCCTTATCATTGTAATTTACTTATCTTTATTGTTATTGTTTCTTTTATTTGTATCACTTCATTAAAATACAGTGGTTTTTTTCTTTAAAATTATAAATGTGTGACTTAAATTTTAATATTTGCAAATAAAATTTCATTAGAATAAATGTTTGCAAAAAAAATTTTTTTTAAAATATCTTTTGCGATAAAATTTTAAGTTTAGCCGATCAAAAATTAACTAAGTTAAAAAAATCCGATTAATAAATTTACTCTATATATCGTACATCATGTGACATATTTGAAAAAAAAACTCAGGCGACAATCGCCCAAGCGATGTTTATCAATTCCCCTAAATTTTTACTATTTTACTATTTTAACTTATAAAAAAAAAAAAAAAAAAAAAAAAAAAATTTTAATATTCCTAGCATCGTCTAACGAAATTAGTGGAGATTTCGATAAAATAAAGTATTCTTAAATATAATTAAAAGCACATATTTTATCTTCCAGGTTAATATATCCCAATTTTGGCAGGGTTTTAGCCTTCCTCTATTTCTTAAGAAAAGTGGTAAGCTAAACTCTTTAGTAGCAAACTACTTGAACGGAAACGTTGTTACAGATTACAGCAATTAGTTTAGTCAATTAATTATGTTAATTTAACGATTAAAATTGCAATGGGTAAGAAGTAATTACAGATTTTCAATAATGAAGAAATCGTAAAAAAAAAGTTTTTGTTCATTTATAACTGATATAAAAGATGTTTCACTTTTTTAAGGTTGGAAGTAATAGTTGAATATAGAGTTTATTTACTTAATGGCGCACCTTTTTAAAACTGAATATTTCTAAGTAATATTAATCTAAGCAATGATAGCGATAGAGTATAGACTCAACAATAAGCTTAATACTGGCGCTAGTTACTTCTTTATAAATTATTTAGTTTTCCTTGTTTAACTAATAATTATTAATAACGGATAATAAAATTAGTAAATTATAGTAAATTGCTCAAACTTCAAAGTATAAATAACGATAAATATACAATGATATTAAAAAATCTATTTAAAGTATTAGTTTAATATTACCATTATCTATAAAAATTTGTACATAGTACATTAGAAAAGTTGTTCTTTAGAATAATAACTACATAAACCTTAAATTTAAAATAATGTGAACAATTTCTTTCACTTAATTCTTTTAATGTTTTCAACTATGAAATTTCATTCTATTATGTTTAATAAGATTATCAATAATGCATCAGCCATTTTAATGATGCATTGAAAATTCATCATATGAATCATATATTTTTACATCACCTCAAAAACATTCAAATTTTGATAATTGTATATACTTTTTTTTTATAATGATTTGTCTGCTTTAACATATTGAGAAAGTTTGTAAATTCTTAATAAATAATTTCAAATTTTATTAATGTAAAAATGTATCTTTTTGTCTTACTACTATTACTCTTGAAAAATCAATGCAAACTAAATAATAATTCTTTAAACTAAATTATTATGATATTTATCTAAAGAAAAATCGAAAATTCTAATAGTACAAAAAATGGGTTAAAATTTAAAAATACTTTAATAATACAAACAGTACAAAAATTACAATTTTATAATTTCATAAATAATTCAAATAGTATAATTGGTTTATTATGGAAATATGGGTAATTTACAAATTATTTTTAACTATTTACCATTGTTTGTTTCTATCTCTATAAAATCGATAATTATTTTGTCGTTACACATACTTTAACAAATTAATATTCAAAATGTCTTAGAATATTTAGAATATTGTCTTTTTTTTATGCCATTGCTTCCGATTATAGGATATCATTAAAATGAAATAAACTGAAATTTGCTTAATATAAAGCTCAAATAATAAAAATGTTCCAGTATTCATACGAAATTTTAACCTTATTTCCGTTAATTAAACTATTTTTAATTTAGATACATTAAGATATAAAAGTATAAATAGTTTAGCTTAAAAATGAATTATAAAATTAAGACTACTATAAAAATAGATTAAGCAAAACGTGAAATACTATATACAACCACATAAATAATGCATACCGATTAAACCGTTTAATATAATTTTACATAGTATCTATTAAGATTTATTTTTTTAATTTTAATTATTAAAATTATTTAGAGAATATATATATTTATAAATGATATAAGAAAAAAGGATTTTTTAAATTGGTAACTCTAAATTTATCCATCTTGTTAGATTGTATTTAGACATTAAACTAAATAAAGTTACAATTTACTGGATTTTTAGGTTATTTAGATTATTGATCAATTCTTTTTTATATTCAAAGGAGTATTGTTATTGGGTTAATCCCATATGTAAAAAGAAGAAATCATTTTGGAAATTTGAAATCATATTACTTAAATAATAAAACTTTTAACGACAAAATTAAAATAAAATTTAATATAAAATTTATTTATTTAATAATTTATATAAAAAATTATTTAAATTACAAACTAAGAATTTCTTTTACTCTCAGTGTTTAAATAATTCCATTTCAAAATAAAATAAATAATATCGTCTTTAGTCTAATTCATGAATAATTTAAAATCCCTCTAAGAAAAAAAACAGATGTATTAGTAAATATTACTGTACCACTATTATATGCATTAAGTATAATTTTTGTAAAATAAAACAAACCATCAGGAATTTCAAATTCTTCTTGTTCTTTTGAATGAAGATTTGGATTATTATATTCATCATCATCTACGAAACAAAAATAATATACAATTATTTATTATCTAAAAAAATTTTAATGAATAAATAATAGTTTACTTACCATCATTATCACCAGTTTGTGGCTGTTGTATTTCTCTATAATAGTTATTTTGTACAGTATCAACTATTGTTAAGTAAAATAAAATTTAATATATTGTATACTTATTTATAAATAAACTCTAATTTAAGTATTTATTTGTTTAATAGTTTACTCACCACTTTTTGAATTTACCCGCAATTTTTTAAATACCTTGGACAATCTTTTACTACCAGCTAAAATTAAAATACTAATAGTAAATATTTACTAAAAGTATAAATATTTATTTTATATTAAATTACCTTTAATAATATTACTTATTTTTTTACTATTCTGATTACTTGATTGGCTAAAATCATCAACTAAAAATTAAACAATTATTCAATATTATACCATATAAATTCAACATAAACTTAAAAAAACTTTTACTTACTATTTTTTGGAATATTAAAGTCATATAATTTACTATGAAATGCTATTAATAAATAAATAGATTTAGTTTTAATTTGTTATTTACTAATTATTTTTAATAAGAATAAGCATTAAATTTATATCACCTTCTTGTTCTTCTGTTATTATTTAAATTAAAAAAAAAAAGTAATATTATATTATTAGTAATAACAAAGAAAGATTAAATAGTTACAAATGTTGATAAACTATACCTTCTGTTGCATTTTTTGGTTCAGGTAAATTTTCAAATTTATGAATTTTACTTGTAAATAATTTACTGCTTATGTTTGTATAGTTTGCTTCTTTATCTATTTTTGCTTTTAGTTGAGGTAATTCATTTGGATTATTTTGATAATATAACTTAATTTCTCTTATTTCTTTCAAAAGTGTATAAGTGTCTGGCCTTTCTGATGGATTAGCATCCCAGCATTGTTCCATCAAATTTTTATATTTTAAAGGAATTTCTGATCTCATTTTTGGCCTCATGCCATTAATAATCTTAAGTGCAAGGTCATAATCATGTTCGTGATTATTAAATGGTGGTTGACCAGATGAAATTTCCCACATAAGCATGCCAATACTATAAATATCAGATTTAAAAGTATATTCTTTTCCATTAATAATTTCAGGTGCTATGTAAGGAAGATTACCATATATACTCATTGATGGTTTATCTGCAGGGCCACAAAATCCAAGATCACTAATATACCAATCATCATTAAATTGTGAATATAATATATTCCCAGAATGTAAATCTCTATGAATCAGATTCTCTCTATGAATCCTATCAAGCGAATCAATTATTTTATAAATGATTCCAATTCTTTCTTTCCATATTAGTTGATTATGATTTTGTTGTAAAAATTCTCTTAAATTAATATCTGCCTTTTGAATTACAAGCATGTAATTTCCATTTGATGGATTTTGTGTTAAACCAAAACATTGAACAATTATTAGCCATTTATTACTTATAGTTAAATGTGATTTAGCCTATAAAAAAATAAATATTCTATAATAAATAATTAATTTTAAATAATATAAGTTTTTAGGTATTTTAGATTACAAACCTCTTCAAACCAATTTTGACTTGCATTTTCAATATTTTCTAATTCTTTTAATATTACATAATGATCTCCAAGTCTTTGTAATTGTTGATTCTCAGAATCCCACTCTTCATATTTTCCGTTAACCCATATTGCTGTATAGATTTTAGAAAACCCACCTTTTGTTAAATATTCAATATTTTGTAAATCATTATATGGAATCCATTCAATTATCATATCTGGCATAAGTGACTCAACTTGACATTTTTGTATTAAATTATCAATCTCATTATTTCCAGATGTCCAATTTGAAAATTTTGCTTTTAAATAATTTTGAATACAATATTCACAATATGACATGGCTAAACATTCTTGGTTACAAATTTCACAAATTCTTCTTGTTCCTGAATTATAATGAATTCTATCTCGGTCATAATCCTTATTACGCAATCTTATTGCTTCAGTTTTTTCATCAGTTGTGAGAGAATTGTCAGCAAGAATTGTTTTTTGTGTAAATTCATGTTGTTTGTGTAAGTCATCATGAATATTATAATCAATTAATGACCATGCTCTATTAGTTACTCCATTAATTAAATCTTTTCGAATAGTAGACATGATATTATAAGGCTTTCAAAAAAATTTTTTCCAACTTTAAAAAATGAACATTTACGCCTTTCGCTTTTTTTAACGTAAACTCCGGATTGCGTAACTACAAATTTAAATTTAGCATGATCTACTACTGTATAATGTTTCACAATATAATAATGTTTCACAATGTTTTACCACATGACGTTTGTGATTATACATTTAAATTAAGAAGTGAACTACCTAAAAAGGCAATAAAAGTATATTATTAATTTTTTTAACGAAGAAAAATAATTATTAAGCAATAACTTTTCGTTCGAAAATTACCTTTTTTATTATTATTTATATATTCTTTTTTTTTTAAAAAAAAAAAATCTTATATAGTATATATACAGTATAATAATTCGAAAATAACAATACGCAGAAACTGAAGTTAAAATGTTTTTTATTCTGTGTACGAGTAATAAATAATTCTAGAATTTGATCCTATAAAATAAAAAGTCATTCCTTTTTTAAAAAATTAAAAAAAAAATTAATACTGTAGGATTTTTTTATACATATGATTGGAAGTTTCAATATGTTCTTAGGTCACATAAAAGCAAAAAGACTCATTAGTAATCCGATTCAACAACAACAATTGTGAAAGAATTTTTGGTTTGTTATTATTGTTGAAATAATAAAATTGTAAGCAAACTTAATGTATTATTGTGTAATAACAAATCGTCTTTCTATTATATATAATAAATTGATAGTCCTTAAATCACTTTAATAAATTATTTGATAAAAAAATATACTTACTTATCTATATCCGTTAAAATGTTAAACCATGTAACATTGAACTCTAAAAAGTATTTTTACACGGATGTATGAATTTAACTTTAGATTCCATTTATTGAAAATGGTCTTTAAAGTTATGGAGATTTATATAATTTACTTTTCAATTCAATGTACATTTAATTTCAAATTCATTTTTAATTCTACTGTATGCTATACATTAATAAATTTTTTTATATTATTTTCTAATTTCCAATTTGTTATATTAATATATATACTAAAAAAAAAAAATACTGAAATATACGCTATTAATTTAAAAATGACTTAGTTTTAACTTTTCTTAATTCTATGCAAAAAAGTTTCGCTAATAATTATAAGTAAACATTAAAATCTGGTTGTTTTTCGGAATAAAAAAAGTTATTTGTGAGATAAATAATCATGAATAGAAAGAATACAATAAAATGAAATCTACATAATTAAAAAATTTGGTAATATTTAGATTTTTGAATTGTGTAACATGGAAACGCTTGAAAATTTTTGTGATCTAATTCAGTTCTGGTTAATGAAATTTTGATCAGATTTTTTTTTATATCATAATACTGATGAAGAAAGTTTAGTTTATTAATCATATTTCCCCTCGGGATGATGCGATCGGCCGCATTAGAATGTTAAAAAAAATTTTTCCAATATATTTTTCTTTTTTTTTTTTTTTATTTTGATTTTTTAAAATCGAAATTTTTTTTCAAATCGGTTTTTTTCTTTAAGCCGGTTTTTTTTTAAAAAATATTTTTACTTTTTTTTTCGGGGTTTAATTTTTCCCCTTTATAATCTAAATAGTAATATATTTTCCTTAATTGCTTTTTTATTCGTTCTTTCACTTTTCAGGTTTAGATCTGTGATCGGATCGATCACCCCAGCCAAATGATCGACATAGTTTCTAAGCTAAGTGGGCGTGCACTACATCCTAGCTTATAAACTGCCCATGGGCCAGATTAGCCCACGAGATCTGATTGGTCCAAACAACTTACCAACATTTAATTACAAATAAG